ACTCTTCCACCACGATAAGGTGGCGATTCAAGGAGGAGAAAAAATGTTGAGGATTTATTTACAAAAAAACATAGCAGATTAATTCAACCTGTCTGAATGAAAAACACGTTTTTTTAAGAAAGGTTTTTTATTTTCCACTTTAAAAACCCTACCCATTTCGGTAACACCCCCCCCCCCCCCCAAACCATCATTTTTTGTACTGTTTCCTCCACGTGTCTTGCATCTGATTTGGCCATGGGCCATTCTGATGACGGCTCCTGCCTCAGAAGGTCCCCAACCTTTGTTGCATCTGGGACGTTTGTTGCAACGGCCGTGGAGCATCTCTGCTGCTGGTGCTAGAGTCTGCACTGTTCCCTTCAGCGGCCAGATGTCCGGGCAGAGCGGGGATCTGCTCGGAGTAGGGTTGCGTGTCTCCTCACCTGCTCCAGGGTGTCGGATGAAGACTGCAGCTGGTTCAGGACTGACTAGAAGTGAGGTCCGAAGAGGCCATCTGGAGATACTGGACCTTCCAGGAGTTCTTTTTTAATGTCCTCCGGAATAGATGGAGACAGTTTTAGCCACATCGGCCTCTGCAGCAACATTGCCCAGGACGAGATGCGGGTAGAGCACGCTGCAAGCGCCGCACACAGTGTCCGCAGCCGTGCTGATCTTGTCCAGATTTGCGGAGAACGGGTTTGGTTCATTCGCCTCCTTAGCTAGGCTAAAGGCTAGCATAGCTATGTTGTTGGTTGCTGCCCCTCCCCCCGTGATGAGCATTAGTGAATTCTGTCCGTCAACTTCGTGGTGAGCTGGTTACTGGAGGATGGAGGGATAATACGTCAGCCGATGTATTTTGCTGCTCTTACTACAAAATATGACAAACTGGGTTCTAGAGGAGGGATGGCGGTTTGGGCACCTCCAGGTTGTAGGCTCTTGCTGATCTCTTAATTATCTCCGGGAGCTCGTGAAGCAGAGTGGTGGCCGATCCCTGGGTGCTCGGGAAGGCAACCATCGAAGGCATTACAGACTCCAAATCTCCTGTAAGGCAGGATGAAGCACAACTGCTTGCTGTTTCAGCCTCAGAGGGGGACGTGTTTGCGAACTCTGTGTCCTGGAAGTCCAAAAATTCCTCCAGCAAAGAGTCTCCCCTCGGTTGAAATTCGTCCTCCGCAGAGGAAAGTAGCTCACACCAGCGCTGCTTTTCCTCAGCCAAAAAAAGTTTACAGGCTGGGCAGGAAAAGAGCGGTTCCATAGCTTGTCGAGCATGATCAACTCCCAGACAGCTTTCACAAACGACGTGCAGGTCCATCGATAAGATGTAGCCCGTCTGGCAATCTGGGCACAGTCGAATGGTTTTTGATTTCTTGATGAAAGTCATCTTTCTTCTTCTCTGTTCTTTGTTATTTTCTTTTCTTTAGAAGTAGTGTTCTTTGCGTTGGCTGAAGAAAAATGGGAGTTGATCTCTGGCCCAGATGTGATTTATAACGGACTGGGTGGGGCCCACACAGCATGTGGGCGTGGACTAAAAGTTTTCAATGTTCATCGCATTACGTGCGGGTAAATCCAACAGCGATAGCTTTTAAAGGGCATAGCTTACACGAAATAGAACAATTATTTGCTCGAAATTATAGTAAAGGTGTGCCTCAGTCTAACTTTTTCTTAATAAATGCACTTTGATGGTCAAATCAGCTGTATTTCAAAAGCCGATATGCGGAAGTAGGTGCGTGCATGGGAGGATTTGCTGTGCATTTCTTCAAAATTTAACAAGATAAGCACCTAAAACAATTATTTGTTTGCTCGATTTTATAGTAAAGGTGTGTCTCAGTTGAACTTTTACTTAATAAAAGGACTTTAACGGTCAAATCAGCTGCATTTTCAAAAGTATTTGCATCTCGGTGCTCTGGGAGCATGCTCTGAGGGAGGAAATCAGGTATGAGGAACGCTGTGCATTTCTTCGAAATTTAACAAGATAAGCACCTAAAAAAATTGTTTGTGCGACTTTATAGCACAGGTGCGTCTCAGTTGAACTTTTACTTAATAAATGCACTTTAATTGTCAAATTAGCTGCATTTTGCCTGGGTGGCACAGCGAAATGTAGCTGATTTGAAAGTTGCTCCAGGCGAGCTGGACAAAGGTGGGAGATTATGGCAAGCCGATTGTGTCATTGATGGTGGACCGGCTGGTGACCTGGTGCAGCAGCAACAATCTAGAACTCAATGCCCGGAAGACCGGGAGATGATTGCCTTCCGTCCCTCCATGACCTGTACGTCTCCAGGACTGTGAGGCGAGCAGGTCAGATCACAGCTGACCCTGCTCACCCTGCACATGGTCTGTTCGAACCACTCCCCTAAGGCAAGAGGCTTCGGTCCATTCGGACCAGAACCTCCCGCCATAAGAACAGTTTCTTCCCCTCTGCTGTTGGACTCCTGAACACTCATAATGCTACCTCATAACTTCTGCTTTGGTCACATTACATCTGTACTATAATTGAATACTCCATCTGTACTGTTTTCTAAGCTTTTTAATTGTTTTCTATTGTATGGGTGTACACATGTTTATGTTATGTTTTCATTCTTACTTTATTTATGGGTGTACACATGTTTTATGTAACGTTTTCATTTTTACTTTATTTTACTTTATTACTATTCACACCTTTATGTCAAAGCAAATTCCTAGTTTGTGAAACTCGTTCATTGACATAGCAATAATAAACTGATTCTGATTCTGATTCTGATAGCCACTTTTACCTATTACACGACACAATGGCATGCCATACTACTCGAGTGCCATCTAGCGGCTGAAAATGTAGTGTTCAATATTTTCAATATTAGAATGAATGAAAACTGTCATATCTCAGCCGAAAATTGGTTTATAAGTATGGGGAAATATCCACAAATAAGTCGCTTTGGTGTATAAGTCACAGGGCATGTAAATTATGCAAAAAATCGCAACTTATAGGCCGAAAAATATGGTATGTATTGTGTCACTCCAAAACAGAATTAACTACTTAAAGTGTGTGTGTGCAGTTGGATTTAATCACCGACCTGCTGGGAACACCTTCTATGGAGGCCATGATGACGGCATGTGAAGGAGCTCGTGCCCACATTCTCAGAGGACCACATAAACAGGTAACTTTACAAATATGTATCACAAAGGGGTATTCTGTGCCTTTCTGCTCCCCTTCCAGGTGATTTTTAACGTTCTGAAATCTGGAAGAAAAAATTACTTCATTAGATCAGTTGGATGATACAAACACTGAGATGTATTATTAGCTATCCTTTCATTTTCTTTATCTGCTTGTTCCTGTTTAGGGTCACAGAGAGCAATTCGCTTCAATTCAATTCAGTTTATTTATATAGCGCCAAATCACAACAAAGTTGTCTCAGGGCACTTTACAGAAACATTTACATACATAGAAAAGCCAATTAGTAAAGTTCTCTATCTAATGGATCCAGCAGACAAGTTGAATCTTGGCTTCGTTGCAGTCTCCCATCCTGATCAAGCACAGTGGAGACAGTGGAAAGAAAAACTCCCTTTAACAGGAAGAAACCTCCAGCAGAACCAGCTCAGGACAAGAGACCATCTGCTCTGGTCGGCTGGTGACTGTGCAGGTGACTTTATGTAGCTGTCACTGAGCCAGAAGCAGGATACATTCTAGACAAGTCGCCAGTCTATGTCGGGGACAGACAGAAACAAACGAGACAAACAGCCTCTCTCACCTGGGGTTAGGGTTAGGGTTAATCTAACATGCATGATGGTTTTGACTGTAGGAGTAAACCAGAATGCACAAAGTAAACTAGTATGGATGGAGAAAACATGCGAACGCCACACAAAAAGGCCCCACTCTGACAGCTAGGTCACCATGCTGCTGTGCCATGTTTCATTAGATCTAATTTTTGTTGCTTATCTAAGAGTTAAACACTGACTGTTTTTGGCTTTTCTTTTCCTCCCCATGCTTTTGTCTGCCAGTCATCCCTTCCTGTTCTGTACACACTGTCCAGCCAAGCAACTCATGAAGCAGTCCACCTTTTGTGCAGAATGCTTGTGTTTGATCCGGTGAGTCATTATCCTCTGTATGGTTGTGCATTAATTATTTTCTTATCAAAGCAGGATTTTAATTGTACTGCAACAGGATTCAGTGTCTTTTTAAAGTGGCACTTTAAAATAGAATGTATTATGATATATTTCTGCCTGAAGCAAACTTTACTTCCTCACAGTGCACATGTACTGTCTCTATCAGCTAATTGTATAACCAAGCTGCAGAATTAGAGCACTATGTAATGCTTAACACATTTATGTCATTAATGAACAACTCAAATGGGCTTTCCTCTGTTTGCACAGTCTCACACATCAGAAATTTTGTTCAAACAGCAACTGAACTCTGTTACATTAATGCAGGAACAGAGCAGAAAAAAGAGCAAAGATTTAACTCTTCAGGGCTTCATTAAGACTTCGTGATGATCATTTATCTGAAACATTCTCAGTTCTACTTGTATCACCAACACCAGCTCTAACTCACTCTAATCCCACTGACAGTAAAATAAACAACACTCAGATAATCTATTTGATTTAAACCCATCTAACTAAAGCCTTTGGTCTCCAGTCTAAGAGGATTTCAGCCAAAGATGCCCTGGCTCACCCGTACTTGGATGAGGGTCGACTGCGCTACCACACATGCATGTGTAAATGCTGCTACACCACGTCTTCTGGTCGAGTTTACACCAGCGACTTTGAGCCTGTCACTAATCCCAAGTTTGATGACGGCTTTGAGAAGAACCTGAGCTCCGTCAGACAGGTCAAAGGTCAGGTTTACTTTCTTTTTTCATAGCTAAACCAGGGCCATAGTTTGCTTATCATCAGCTATTTCTGTTTCCAAACACTGCCTGGTTCTATCTCAGTACCAGGTCTTTGCTGGGCCAAAGGAAAATAAACTGCTTTTATTAGGAGCTGGAGGCGGTGCTAAGGAAACCAGCAACTGTCACAGGCTTTCTGTTTAAAGATTGGGACTTTGTTTGATTAATCATATTAGAAAAAAGTGCTATTTATACAACAGAGTTTGTTGGCAGGTCTCAGACTGATTTAAATCTTTCGGATGAAAGACGAATCGTTTCAACCAAGAAAAAAATGTGTCCAGATGACCTAATTTAACTTTTTTGTGTTATATTAGTAACATCTAAAAAAGTTAACTCTGGTCCTCTGGACATTTAAAAAACAAAACAAA